TCCCTTTTTATGGACACTGAGCTTGAAATTGGTTGTCATTTTTTTTTGGGTGGGTTTTGTTGTTATAATAGATTTTAAAAAGTATTTTACTTCAATTTATGATAAGAAATGTATTTTATATAATGGCCACTGAATGACACAACTGTTTTATGAAATAATACCACCAATATGTGCAATGAATAATTTTCTGTTCTATTTTTTCCAGAATGCTGTTTGCAACCTGCTAAACAGATTTTACAACTCACTAATGGGTTGCAGTCTAAAATTTGAATAACTGGGCTAAAAAATGTTCCAATTAGTGTAGAAAGTGCTAAAGTTAAGATCTGAGCCTAACTTATGTTCTTCCCCATAAATAATTTGTTCCCCAAAAATACTTAAAAGTGCTGCATTATGTATGTTTATGCTTCACTTTATTGGATGGAATTGGGGAGATGATCTTAGATGAAGCAGGAGGCCTATTGGTCAACCATGAAGCAAAACATTATACAAATAGAGAATGACATAAATTTTCCCACTTAGTGTATAAGTGAATGTGGCTTTTGATTTCCATAAAAACTGATTATTAACCACAAAAAATAAATAAGAAATCATTAATTTGGGACCACAGACTAGAGGTATATTTTATCTTAGTTTAATTAGTAGTAAAAGATCATTTAAAAGTTTAGAAGATTATAAATTACCTTCAGCATTTATGATATAGCTAAGAAGATATGGAGTAGGGTGGGGCGGTGGGAAACAATGAGTGTGGGGAATGGGAATTGTAGAGAAAGGCTAATGAGGAAGCAGCAGGTCATGCTACAGTTCTTAGCATAGTCCTTCATCTAATGAACTAAAGATGCTTCACAACTGCAGAATAATTTGTTTCATGGTAGAAATTAAAAAAAAAACACATAGTGGAAGCAGCTATTAAAACCCCATTCATACAAATCTCAAAATCATCCAGAGTCCTGTCTCCCAAAGTGAATAGATAATAGTCTCAACCCAACCATAGGGAATACTGTACTTCCTTGAATGCAGCTTCCTGTTATCACTCATTTATTTTTCCAGATGCCTTTTTACCTATCTTTCAGCAGCGTGATGGAATCCTTTATTCCTACACTGGTAAATGGCAACAGGTGCCTGGCTGGCTCCTTGACTGCAGTTCTTCAATCCTCTAATGAAAATGTCCTAACATTCATTCATTTAACAGATACTTTGAATGTTCTATGCTTTCTTCTGATACATTTCATGTTGTGCTCCTAACCAACATATCAGTGATAGGCAGTCATCTCCCATAAAGACTTACTTACAGCTCAGAGCCTGTTGGAGGATCACATTATTTTAGAATAAACTGGAAAGCCCTGAGTTTGGTTTTGACTCTTCATACACGTCCCCTCTGACAGGTCTCTTTATGGTGTGTGTTGTGCTGTTATGCATTTATTCATATCCCACACCTCTATTCTCTGCTTTTCCTGGAATGCCCTCTCTGACTTGACATTCAAGTTTAACTCTTCCATGGAGTCATCCCATTACTCTGAACTTACAGCTCTTATGCAGTAGATGAATAGTTGAAGTTAGCTCTTTTATGTTATTCTTTGCTTCCTGTTAGCATTGTCTATCTAACTCCTACTCACCAGTACTGGGAAGCTGTCCTTGATCCCTGCCTGACCTGTATGTTATTTCTCTGGCTCCTACAGCACTCAGTGCTTACTCTGAACATAATCTACATTGTGCCATGATCATTATTTACCTGTCTGTCTTCTCAACTGTTTTGAAGACAGTCTGAGCCTTACCAACTTTTTATGTTCAATTTGTAACACAGCCCATAGGACTTAAGAAACAAGAGGGGAAAATAGAAAAACCAGGGTACTAAGTTTCTGCCTTCTTCTGGCATAATGAGTAAGACAAAGAGCCTATTAAAACAGAACTAGAATCTGGATAAATTACAACATACATACTTTTTAGTACATTGTTGGGTTCATATCACCAAAGAGGGGAAAATAACATTAAGTTGAAGCCTCACAAAACATGAGCAATAGGCAGTAGTATCAGATTTGCACCAGGGTCAAATGCCACTATCAGCACTATGAGCAAACTTGAAGTCTTGAGTCTAGGCAAGAAGAGAAAAATGCAGGCCTCTTGAATGAAGCTTGGATTCTTGAAGGGGCTAATGTGAAGGAGTCAGACTCAGCTTGTGACACAATCTAGTGCAAATCCTCTCTGGGACAATGCACTCCAGTTTACACTCAGGATTATCATCGATTAATAAAACAGGAGATTTTAACCTCAAAATACAAAGTATACAAGGAAAGAAGTTACTTTGAGTGACAGCAGAAAACAGTCAATTTAGACATTCAAGATCAGTCACAGACTATAAAGCAACAATTCCAACAAATTTCAAAGAATTGGTATTATAAAGACCATATTCTTGGAGCACAGTTAAGTAGAAACCAATATAAAAATGACAAATTTTAACTCCTCAGACATTTAGAAATTTGCAAAACATTTGGAATGGAAATGGAAATATTCTTAAAACTAAATGATAATGACAATACTGTACAACATCAAAAACTTTTTTTGGATGTAAGGAAACATTCTTTAAAATTAATGATAGTAAAGAAGATATAAATTAGCCAAGGGTCAAAGTTAAGATGTTCTAAAAGAATACAAAATTAAATGAAAAGAAAGGAGAGGGGATGCTACAGAAAAGGCCAATAATTAATGATATTGAAAACAAAAACATAAGGAAGATGATCAACAAAGTTCAAAGTAGTCTCTGAGACAAATAAGAGAAATAAACAAATTTAGGACACAATTGATTAAAAAGAGAGAGAAAAGACAAATGAAAAAAGGGCATGAATAACTAGAAATTAGCCCCCCCAATCAACTGAATGTCAATAAAAGATAAGATATGAAATGCACAGTAATTTAGAAAAATACCTAACCTGATTCCAGAAGAAAACACAAATAGCTAATACATGTATTAGCTGTAATTTTTTTCCACATACACAAAAATAAGTTCAGTTTTAAAAGTGATTTTACCAAACTTTCAAGGAACACTTCATTTCAACCTGATATAACTTCTTCCAGAGAGTAAGACAATAAGAGAGTCTCAGAGGGTATGCAGATCAAAAGAACCATCTTAGAAATATTTTTAGAAATCTTATCCAAAGCAAAGGCACTAATATACAAGAATATTCATAGCAGCTTTGTTTGTAATAGCAAAAAACTCGAAACAATGCAAATATCCATGGATAAGCAAACGGATAAAACAGCTTGTGACTTACACACTTGATGTAATATTATACAGATGAAAATCATGGAATCTACAACTTGGATGAATTTAAAAAATGTTAGATGACAGATGCAAACTACAGGAAATTCTAGAGTTTACTATTTTTGTAAAATTAAAAAATGTAAAAATATATTATTTAAGGATATATATATAGATACCATTAAATATATCTATTTGTTTCAGATAATTAATGAACATAAAGTTATTTTTAGAGGGACAAAACGGGAGGAACACAAGCAAATTCAATGATATTTTTAATATTTTAATGTGTAACATGAGTGACGGATCACAGGTATGAAATTTATTATTATGCTTCATAATTTATGTTACATATATTCTTTCTGGATAACAAATATTACATATTTTATTTGTTAGAAATCTACTACAGTGGAAATAAGTGAACAAATGAAGTCTCCCTGAAAGAAAATCTCTTTCTTGGTAAAACCAAGATTCCCTGCCAGAAGCTACTCTATGTAGAAGCAAAGTAGATCCTCAAAAAATACTGATTTACTGTTTTTCCCAAGGACAAATCCGTAGGATTTGTATTGTTTCCCCTCTGGAGCTCTTTGATCTGCAGAGCTACTGCCTTCCATACACTAAGATACTGGCCTGAATGCCACAGTCCTAAATCCTGACACAGATATGACAAGAGACTGACACCTGGTGGTGTCAATGCAATTTAATGCAATGATAGGAAGGGACTCTTTTCATGGTGAGTGTGGCCACTAGGGTGGGGAATAACAGTTATGAGGAGAAAATGAAAATAAAAAAAGTAAAAAAGCAAGCCGTTCTATCTCTGAGAATATAGATGACAAAAAGGGATTGTCATCTTAATAGATTGAAAAGAAAATTCCTCGAGATGCAAAGATTCCCCTCTTGTTCCTTCTGAAATTAGAACAAGAGGTAAGAGGTCACAGCTATAGTAAGACTATGATGGAAAAAAAGGAAGCAGGTCTGGCTGAGGACGTGTACTTCACAATTGTAGCCTCCTCAGAAATCCCTCCTCACAATTTCCATTTGGGGATCCATATGATTCTGAAGAGGCTGGTCTTTACGAAAAGTGTCAATGATGTAGGTTAAACAAATTAGCACATACTCTCCTCTGGCCACGGTGTTTGGTTAGGGATGACCATGTAACCTTGGCTGGCCTGATCAGAGTAAATCTGAGTGTTTGCTAGGGTTTTTGTCAAAAGATGCCAACTCTTTCTGGCTGGACATAAATGAGGAAACATGTAAATCCTAGGAGTGCTGGCAGCCACAAAGTGGTCTAGTGTTACGATAATCCTAAAGAAGGTCGAGCCAAGAGAAGAAATACCAAGTTTGACACTTAGAAGTATATTGAGTATCAGACTACTGGACCAATTTCACCTGGAAATTCAGCATAAAACTTCTGAATTTTACAGGTACTGGAACCAAGAAATAATTTTTACTTTTAAATTTCCAATAATTTAAAATAAAACGATTCCTAACCAATACATTCATCATACCCTATTTTCCCACAGGATAGCACAAAGGTCCAGGTAAGAAAGTCACTACAGATTTATTGGTGACACTAAAGACAAGAGTATCAAGCTGGAAGGGTCAGGAACTAGTTAAGCCTAAGTGATTGAGTTGTCTACACAGAGACTCCCTTAAGGAAAGATTAGCCAGATGAGAATCAAGTGCAAAAGGGCCTCTACTAGGCAGACAGAGTTGACAGAGAGTAAATAAACATCTTTGCCACCTATCATGGGGGTGTTGCTTTGGAGTCCTTATGCTCACAGGGTACAGAACTTTGAGGAACATGCCCTTTTAAATCTTTGTTACTCTGTGTTGCAGTCTCTGTTTCTTCTTTGACCAAATGAAGAGCTTCCTTCTGGCTTCTACTGCCCTTGATGACACTCACTTTAGGGGTGAAAAGAATCTTATCTTCTGTTTCTTTGGCATGCCGAGAACTGGAGCCCCTTGCCCCTTTGGAAATAGCACCATCTTCCTGACCCTGGACAAGCACTGTTCCCTTTTCAGCCTCTCCTGTTTGTCTCGGCCTGTCTAACCTTCCGGCTGTGTTGCTTTCCCCTCCAGGGCCCCATGGTAATTTTGAGGACTGGGAAGAGTCTATGGTGGCTGTAGACTTCTCAGGGGTAGAATTCCTTTCTTTGCTTCCACCTGATTTTTTTCGAGGGCGTCCCCGTTTCCTTTTGGCATCAGCTCCTGTATCCTCTATCTCCTGCTTTATTGTCTTAGCTAGTAAGTCTTGTCCACTGGCCTCGCTCACAGGTACTTCAGCTGTCCTCTTGATGCCCTTGTCCACGGGTCCTGGGTTACCTCCTATGCCCACCTCCCTGTTCTCTGTGCACCGGGGCTGAGTGAGACCCAGAGGTGCAGCCCGCCCAGGCAAAGCAGGAACAGTTGGTAAAATCATATTAATAATGGGCACAGCTGCCTGAGGTCCTCCAGCCCTACTGGGTAGAGGCAGGGTAGCCACTTTTAAGGGGCCTGAAGAAAGCCTAGGGGCCAGGATAGGTGGAGAGACTCTGATTGGCTGAATATGTGGGCGAGGGGTCCTGGGGAGTAGCACAGGTAACCTAGCTACCAGGGCATTAACCTGTGGGTTATTAGCTGCTGGGGCTCTGGTCTCAACTACATTCTTCTTCCGCTCTCCACGTGCCAAGGAGCCAGCCCCAGCCCGGGGTTCTAGCTCCTTAGGAGGCTAAAAAAGTAAAGAGAAGAATATAGTAAGGGGTGAAAAAAGACTGGCTCTTGAAGAAAAAAAAAATATGCACAGGAGGTAAAAATGTATGGCACACACCAGGGGAAGAGTAGAGCAAGTCCCCTAGCCCAGGGCAGTAAAGTGAAGGTCGTAAACCTTACCTGGGCTGGTCTCTCTGATTTCTTATGAGTTCCACCTTCCAAATTCTCTACACCATTCTTGGATTTAGATGACCGCTCCCGAGGGGCATGTTCATCCTCTTCTGAAGTGGTACCGGAAAGGGTAATAAAGTGAGAACATGAAGGAAACTGAGGAATGGAGGAGGGAGGTGATTCTGATTGATGGGTGGACTAATAAGAGATAGAAACGATGGTGGTTTAAGGCGTGTCTAAAAGGATCTTCAGGAATAGAAGAACATCCAAGGTGCTTCTGTCCTAGTATGTGGGAGGTTTTCTCAGAGTGTAAGAGAGGGTCCACCCACCAGCAGGCCCCATGGCCTTGAGCACATGGGCATGTGCAGATCTGGCCGAGATGAGATGCTGCTGTAGTAGAAAGCGGGCAACTTCTACGATGGAACTGAAAGATCGTTTCAGGATTCGCTCTGCCCAGTCACAGGTCAGGGCACAGGCTGCCTCTACCAGTTCATCCCGAGGAGCTGGGGTTACTTCTGGACCCATTTCTGGCTGCAGTAGTAAAGGACATGCCCAGTCACACTCCGAACAAGGAACCTTTGAAATCCTCTCTGACACTAATACTGGTCATAACTGAGACGAGACCTGGAAGAGGACTCTATCCATCTTATTCAAGGCACCTACAAGTTCTCATTATTCTCTGTGTCAGTTGTAGAGCAGAAAGAAGGGCATATACTAGATACTCAGAAGTTATGTTTAGAATGACCTAAGTTATGTCTATAATGACCTGAGCTACATTATTCCTCAATACATGTCTTGAAGACCTCTGGAAGAGAAGGATACAATTAGAGTGGTGTTTGTTACTTACACTCTCAGAACCCTTCAGGTCAAGTCCAGGCAGGGGTGGCATAGATACCAAAGTCTTTCTTCGTATGCCACTGTAGCAATATCTGATGCAAGTTAAGGAACAGCCAATACATACACAGGGATCTACCAAGACTCTTAAGAGGTTATGCAGTTTCCACTTTTGGCTCTCCAAATGCCAGGTTTTCCTCTTTAGGTCCCTAGCACCAACCTTTCCAGCCAAGGATACTTGGACTGACCCCGGCCACCCAGCCTTCGTGCCTTGATGTCAGGGAAAATCTCTCTGATGATTTTGCCAAAGTTGGCTGTACTGAGTGGGCGGCAACAGGCAAGGCTCTCACAGTACTTCCTGAGTGAACGGAAACAGAATGGGGAGATACTCAGCAAAAAAAGGCTAAGGGTGGGTTCAGAGGGTCCCTAGGAATCAAGTTTGGGAAACCTTTTAGGAAATCAGGCCTCATCAAGGCTCTCTAGGGGCAAAGGGGTAAGCATTGCCCACCCACCGATAGGCATCATAAACACTTTGCTTTGGCAGACAGGTGTCTGTGTGTTCTTCCAGGTGATTGCGGATCCACCTACAGGCATACATGTACTCTTCATTGCTGAGTGTACTTGGTTCTGAGCTGAAGAGAGAAGTAAAAGGGACAAAGGTTACTAAGACCCCAAGAATTGTCCTTGTGGTTCTACTCAAACTATCACTTCAGGAGGTGCTGGATTGAATGAATTCATCCAGAATCCACCTGTCCATGGTAAACCAAACCAGATCAGGACCCTTCCTTCTTCAGGATTGCCTTTGTGTGTGTGCACGTGTGTGTGTGCCCCATCAAATTGGATTCCACTGGCACAGGCGGAGATTGTGTCTCCTTCCCCAGCGGAGTAGCTAGTGGATTCTAACCATACGCCTTAGGTATTGCAGCGCAGTTTCTTGCCTCTAGACCACTAGAGTTCCCTGGGACCTTCCTTCTTGATCAAGACAGCAGTTATGAGTCTTCCTATTTACCCAGTCTCTTTCCTGTGAGCTTTTCTCCAAGTATCAGAACCCCTGACACCTAGAACTCTATTATCAAACCTACCTTTTGTCTCCAGTACTGGGCCCTGAGGGGAGCTGAAGGTAGAGATACAGCTTGTCATTGTCTGAGAATTTCTGTACATCTTGCTGACGTAGCAGAGGACAGAGACAGGAGAAATATTAAGGCCAAGAAGAACCCAATGTAGACTCTCTATCATAAGGTCTAGCTAACCCAGGCTGTCAAACTGGAAAAAAAAAGACCTTAACAAAAATCTGAAACTATATGTTCTGTGCTCTGAGGACCCATGTGGGTTACCATGTGGGAGAGAGAGCATCTCTGGTTTTTCTATCCTGGTCTTCTTTATAGAAGACACAGAAAATGAGATGTCCAAGGTCAATCTGGTAGCAAGTTAAAAAGTCACTTTGGACAGGGCACAGAGCACAGCTTCTCCCAAATAAATTTTTCATTCTCATCATCCTACTTCTCCACTTCATCTACCTATTGCTCCCTTCCCCAAAACACTTACCAGAATTCCCTCCACTTTGGCCTGCACCGCCTTGCTGTTGGGAAAAGAAATGGGATTACACACAGAGTCTTCCCTGCCCCTTATCTGATTGTTAGGGTGGAGAAGAAGACTGAAATGCCTGGTAGGAACTCAAAAGTTGCTTCCATGAGGGAGAAAGTTCATCCTTGGAAAGGTGCACTTGCTGGAGGAGATGCAGTTCATTTTAGGAGGAAATGAAATGTGTGTGGGATCTACAGCTGGGTCTGGATCAAGATATGGTGATGAGTACTTACGAAATGGTACCTCTGAGCTTCTGAAGAAGGGTGGTGGGTTCACCTGCCTCTGAGTTTCCTGGGGGGGCCCTACTCCCAGTCTTTGGGCTCTTAATATCAGGCTCATCTTCTGCCATCCCGGCATGGGGGCTAGAGTTGAAGGGAGACAGGGCATGAAGGTTGAGCTTATACTGACCTTCCCTACCCCTCAGACACCCCCAATTCCAAGATACTCATCACTTCTCTACTCAGAGAGGGAAAGTAACAGAAACAACCTCTCTAAATTTCTCCAGTGGTCTTTTTCTCACCACTTGCCTTCTCCAAGTATTAGAAACCAACCTATTACTTATCCAGAATCATAAGGTCCCACAGAGATCTCTGCCCCCTCTATTTATCTGCCTCATCTTTATGAAGTCATTCCTAACTCTGGAAAACTGCAAAGGACGAGACCGGGGTATTGGGAATCCATGTTAGAAAGAAATTTTCATTTCTGCCTCAACCTCATTTTGCCCTCGTCCCCACTTCACCCTCCAACCCAACCACCACCACCGCAACACAAAGTTCTCTAATATACTCGCACTGAATTTGTCCAGGAGGTCAGAAAGGATACAAACAAATCCCGCCCTCCCAGGTTTGAAGAAATCAAGGCACAAATTATCATTATTTAATCTCACCAAGGCTCCCCCCCAACCCCGCTGCTCCCCCTCCTCGTGTCTCCGGCCCCTACGTCATCTCCCTCAACATCCCATCCTTAGTTGCCCCCTCCCTCACCTCCCTCTCTTTCTCCTCCCTTCAATCCTCAGTTGTTGCAAAGTGAGGCAGTTCAGGGTAGCAGAAGTCATAGGCCGAGAGAAGGAAACCCGGTTGAGGGGAATGGGGTCCCAGATTCAGGGCACGTGCACATGGACGAAGAAGCTGTTGAAAATATAGCCAAAATATTTTTTCTGCTCTCCTCCCAACTCATATCGCCCCCTCCCTACCTTTGAATAGTCGCCTTCCAACACAAGCAACAGTAAAGGTTAGGGAGAAAGAGAAACTACCTCGTAGCCACCTTCACTTCAGCCCAGCCCTACGATCCTGGCCCAGAGGGCTCGTGCGTTGCTTTATTTTCTTTTTTCTGAATGGTTGTAACAGTCCCAATCTGCCTAGATACAAGGATGGCCGGCTCTATCATTGGTCGCTGCTGCCACCCGGAGACAGAAGGCGCTAGGCTCGCACCGGCAGCACCGAAAGTCTGCCTGGTAACAGAATCTGACTGGTTAATAGGAGAGGGAAAATCCAAAATTGGTCTTATTTGAGTCAACAGGGGGAAGTCCGGGTTAGGTTTCGGTTAAAACTGGGGTCGGTTGGGACTGCAGGTCCCAAGAGATTCTCTTCTTAAAGGGACCGCAGGACGAAAGACCAGGCACTTGGCACTTGGGAGCTTTATTTTCTTTTGTCCACCTCGCCTATGTTTTGGGTTTGCTTTCGGTGATATAAGCAACGAAGTGTGATGATGGGTAGTAGTAGGGAATCAGTAGATGATTAAATAACTAGAAAATTGAGGGGTACTAGTGATGGAGTTTGTCTGTAAGCTCGTATGGCCCCCTTCAAACAAGTTGAACCATTCCTTCTCCTCCCCTCCCCCGCGTCCTGGCCAAACACACATACATGAACTCACAAACAAACCTGCAAACCCAGGCTCTCCTCATCGCTGGAATCCTTCAAAACCTCAGCAGTTGTACATTAAAATCTTCTCCTGGCCCCGGTGAGCTTTGGTTTCTCACTTTTATTTCCCTCCAAGGAGTTGCTAAGCATTTTCATCCTTATGTTTCTTCACTCTGCATACTGAACACTGGAATTTTTACCGACGCCCCCAGGGGGTGCTGGATGCCTAGTTTGTTTTGCTTTGAGTTTTTGTCCCCCCCCCCCCTTTAGAGCATGCTGAATGGATACATCATGAGTTCTTAACCCTTTTTGTTAAGACTCTTTTAGGTCATGAATTTCATAGATTAAGATGAAAACAATGGGCAGTCTTCTCCGAAAATTGCGCGCACACACACACACACATCTCAGATTTCAAAGTTAATAACCTCTTGAGATATGTTTTGTTTTGCACAGTAGATACACACTTACATTCAAAACCGTATTTGCAGTTCTGACTTCTGATATGGTCTCCATTCTTAATATCATTACAGTGCTTCCCGCCCCCAGCGCTTTTTAAAAGACGACAGCAATCAATGTAGCAATCTCTACAACCCACATCCCTACTACTCATCTCCCTACTACCAGCTTCTGTTTGTGGTGAGGTGTGAGGATCACAGTTTTGGGGAAATGAGGACATACTGCTAAAACAATTTTCTTGGTTAACAGCTAAAATTGATGTAGTGTCGACTGTATGCCTCATATAAAATTAAATGCTGAAAAACAAACAAAACCCCACCAAACCAGAGCCCTAGAGTCAATTCTGCCTCAGAATCGCTGACAGTCTGTTGTCAGGGTAGAGTTGCTGCAGAAGATTTTTAATAGTTTATCTTTCTGTAATAGATTATCGAGTCTTTCTTTCAAGGTGCCTCTAGTTAGCTGAGAAGCTCTAATCTTTCAGTAAGCAACCAAACATATTATTCAGTTGCACCACCCAAGGACTCTACTAAACATTAAACATCTTGTAATACAGCAACTCTATGAGGTAGAGGTACTATTATTATCCTCATTTTACATATGAGGTGACTGAGACAATAAGAGGTTAAAAATCTACCTAATGTTATAAAAAAAGTAGATGATGGAGCCAGGATATGAATATTTTAAAAGTTAGGACTGTCAAATACTTGTTTATCTTGTGGCTTCAGCATTCTGCAAATGTATTATCTCTTCAAAAAGAAAGAAAATGCAGTCTTTGAAAGTAAAAAAAAAAGGACTGCTGTGTTTATGTGTTTGAGAAACTTAAAACCTGAAGCTAAAATTGATAAGGAACAATGAAAGGCCAAGAAGACTACCCATTCTCATAGCCAAACAAGAGTAGAGTAACTTGTCAACCTAGGTATTAAGAATTTTTATTAAGCTCTGTAATTATGACAATATCGTTTTAATGCAGGGACAACAGGAATCCCAGAAACAGACCCTCACATATATGGAAAATTGATTTATGGCAATAAGCATAATAAACCAACAGAAAATAGGCTATTATGAACCAATAATGGTGATTTTAGGAAAACTGGTTATTTATACAGAAAAAAGCTCACCAAACCTCTCACCATGAATTAGATTTCTTTTTAAAGACTATATATATTTATATTCCCTCCTTGCTGTGTACTGTCAAAATCGGATTAGACTAGCACAGGTGGAGATTGCCCCTCTTTCTCCAGCGGAGCATCTGATGGATAAGAATATATTTTTTGTTGTTGTTGAACATATTCACAGCAGAACATACAACAACAACATGTACAACCATTGACATAGATTACAATTTTCAAATGGTAAGCCTTGCCCTTCTTTTCCAAATGATTCCTTCAGCTTCCTATCTAACCTTCTGAACTGCTGTTGTTACTTTGCAGGAGCCATGATAAAGCTGTATGTAGTTAAGTGCTTGGGTGCTAATCTAAAGGTGCAAAGGTCGTTGATTTGAACACACTCTCAGTTCTCTGAGAGACTGAGTTCTTTCATAAAGATTTTAGTCTAGGCGCCTTATAGGGTAACTCCACTCTCATATAGGGTTGCTCTAAGTCAGAATGGACTTGATAGCAACAAAACTGCGAAGAGAGTTCATTCAAGAGAACACAATACTCAAGGCAAATATTCTTTTCTTATTAAGCTAAACTATATTTTTTTAAAGAAGACCAGGGAATATTTTTGTTTACAGTTTGAAGACTATTCCAGGGAAATGAGTTCAGTCATCTATCCAATCCCAGTGGCTCCAGAATGTCTAGATTCTCTGATCATGGATTTCTTTTTTTTTTAATTATAACAAATCTTCAATTTATTTGAAGCAATTCAGTTTCAAAAACTTTTAAGTTACAGCAGTCACAGAAAAACCTGGGAATAGTCAGAACCAATAAGTGAATGATCAAGAATACGGCATTTTTGTTTAACACTGTCATGGCCTTATTCGAAACACAGTTGCACAAAAGTATTAACTTCAAAGTTTTAAAAGGAGAGAGTCTTGAGGAACTTAACACTATATACATACTGTCATACAAAGAGCATTAAAATAGGACCAAAAACCTCTACAAAATATAAAACCCACCCTTACTTATTTGCATGAAAATACCACCCACAAAGCTAAATATGTTTTAAAAGTT